GGGCCTCAATGTGTAATGACTGTCTCTTAAATAGGCCTATGATTGTAATAAATAAAACCACGATGAAAATGCTTATATTTAGTTTCAAACACACGTGTGTGGCCTATATTAATAATAAAATAAGCCCTATGTCGTATTGTTTTTTATATGGGGGGTGGGGAGGGTATCACACCAAGTCCTAAATTACTAACCGGGAAAATTATTACCTTCGCCCCCCACCCCGACCCAAGACCCCTGTTACGCGCCTGCTGCACGCCTTCTTATATAAGTGGGCCCCCACTTTCAAAAACGTTCCGCCGGCCCTGCTACAGTAGTACAAATTAAATACTATTTACTATGCCTATAAAAAGTAGTAACTAGGCCTCATTCATTCATTGGTGCTATGCTATTTTGGCAGGTCCTTAGATGGCATACAGTATTTTAGAGCTGTCTATTTTCAGCTTTTCTTTTAATTTAGATACTGTCACCCTGTTTCATTTGGTGCTTTCCCCTGAAAGTGGCCTTCTAAAACTGTTATGAGTAGTATTAGTGATCATATCTTCTTAGTACATGGCTTATACAGAACTCGAATGATTATTTATGTATACTTTTTAGTAGTCCTCTAGGCCTAATACTTAATTATGAAAAATCAAGGTCTAACTAAAAAATAAAAATGTTCACAGTATGTAACTCAAATAATATTTTTTACTACTCGTGCAGCTCAATTAAATATTACATTGTCATCTTAAACGGCAAATTAGTTATTATGGTAAACATCATGTATTTTTAAAAATCAGACAGCGGTATCATTCCATAGGTTCTGTAGACGTTTATCTTTGGTTGATGTCCTCCTGAATTCTGAATTATAAGATTTTCGAGTCGAGTCAATCGAGACGGTCCGAGTGGAGTTTCATGCAAATGTTTCGTACGGGAAAAAATCGCTACTGTGAACATTCTTTATTTTTCAGTTAGGCCTAGGTTTTGGATAATTAAGTACTAGTTCTAGAACTACTAACAATTATGGATAGGCCTACATACATCCAGAGTTCTGGATTAATTTATTTATTTATTACTATTAATATTATTATTATTATTATTATTAGTACCGTAACGAATATACTTTTTACTTTTATTTTAATATAATTTGATTCATTATTATTATACTAAAGTGCTTGTCTCTATTTATAGACTTAATATTGGTTCATGCTTAATTGCAATCAAAACAAAATTCTACCTAAGTAATTTTGTTACATAAATTTAATAGACCTCCACTACGGCATAAATACCAAGTATCAATTAATTACTTAATGAATGAATTAATTAATAGTTATTAGTATTATTGTTATTATTATTATGAATATAGTTTTTACTTTTATTTTAATATTATTTGATTCATTATTATTTTTATACTAAAGTGCCTGTCTCTACTCCCTAATAACCCCCAGGTAATGTTGCTAAGATTCCCATGAAAAATGAGCGTCTATGTTGTACAAGAGCGTGCCTAACTCAGACTGGTTCATATTAGTCAGTTGTTAAGCCTGACAGATACCGCAAAGGTCCATTGTTTTGTTAGCTATGACGCTACAATCAATCAACTTTATTGACATCATCAACCAAAAAAAAATGATACACTCAAAACATAAATTAAACAGCACGGGGAAACGTGAGATAAGAAAAAAACAGAACATAAACAATAACTTTTTCGCTGTCTATTATAATGGACTGCCTATTTGGAAAGCAACCTTTACCGTTCGGAATACATTTCTGGATCCACTGAATTAGACCACTATATTCCCAGCACAGCACTGTATTTTAATATAGACCTATACTTTGGCTATAACAATTATAAGCTGTATTGTATGTTCATGGACCCTATGGTGTGTTCAATTACACACATAAACCTGGCACTCGGTTTGCTTATACTGCTTATACAGTATTTGAATGGGTATATAAAAAACCCCCTCACGATTGTGTTGTTCGTATGAGCCCGCGGTGAAAATGAGTTGTGGAATGTCTAAATATTGGTATATAATGGATTAGCCACTCTGGCTGAGTCGGTATTCTTCATGATATGAGACTTTACATTCATTGGAATTTCATAGGGTTCATTTGTGTGCTCGGCAACTCGTACATCTTCTACTGTTAATATGGATCATGTTCGGGATCGTCTATAGTAATGTTTCTCAACGCGGGAGGGATCACGTTCTTAGCATCATCACAAAGCTCACTGGATTCTTCAGACACCCGGGTCAATGTGCCTTGGTTGTCATCTCGGATATAATACGCCCCGATGTGATTATTTTCTTGGGAATAATGGTATCTGGAAGAGTACAGAAAAAAAACAAAACTCAACTAAATTATTGAACGTAAATTAAAAAGGTCAGGTAGAAGAGCACCAAAGCAATCTTTTAAGAAAAGCCTATAGAATCACCGTCTAGAAATTTACAGATGTGTAACACTAATGATTTATATTATTTACGTTAGGTTGCTAGCAATAGTAATTTGTGGAAAATGTTTTCTGTTACGTTTACGATATGTTTATGTTTGTGTCCGCAAGACTTGATAAGTCTTTCATGATTAATTATATATATATATATATATATATATATATATATACATATATATAATTTATTTATTAATGAATGGAATGATAAAAAAAGAAAAACATGAATGGACAAGTGAATGAATGTATGAATGATAATATATTAATGTTTAGATGGATTGGTAATGCACAAATGAATGAATAAACGAACAAACGAACGAACGAAAAACAAATAAATGTATAAACGAAATGACTGAATAATAATTGATTAGTCGATCGATCGATCGATTGGTCTGTCGGCAGTCTAACTGATTGATTTACTGGTTAGTCTGATTTGTTGATTTATTCTATTCATTTATTGGTTAGTGATTCAATGGTGTATTCATTTAGTGATTTGGTGATATTGTGATTTTGATATTTAGTAATTCGTTGATTTTAGTGAAACAATAAATTAATTAATGTATAACTACTGTAGATACAATACCGTACAGGCAAAAGACCAAGAAAATAAGAAGGAAGATGGTGATAGAAAGAACAATCACTACTGCTATTATATATTCAGGAATTGATGAACCTATAGAAAAACAAAAACTACAATTATTACTTCTACTACTGTTGGTGATAATGATGGTGATTATGTAAATGATGATGACATGATGCAAAATAGTGTAAGACTGGATCAAATTAATGAAAATATTTTAAATAAACATGACTACATGGCTTATTGAAATATATAAAAAATAAACCAATGAAATGAAATAAGAACGAAAGTAAATTACATTCACAATAAACAAAATTATAATAATTATATAATCCTGCCGCTTATGATGAATCAGGTAAAAAGACGTTATTAATTTTAATATTTTAGAGTGCAGTGTTAGCTACATGTTTATAAACAAACAATGTATTAGTCACGATTGATTAACAATCAACGCTACTTTCATATCAGTTCAATTTGTTAATTTCAATATTAATGAATGGAAGCAAATTTTTTCCTGTTAAAAATTGTTATCATTTTATTCAATTCAATAAAAAATATATATATATATATATACATATATAAAATTGTTTACTTGCAGCAAAAAGCTGAATTGCGAAACAAAGTTGTTACATAAGGGTAAAAGATTATTAGATTTAAAAAAAAACACACACACAAGCTAATAAGTAATTATAAAAGATAAAACTATACAATAAACATTATTGAATTCATAAATTAAATTTTTAAACAACTTACTATACAGAGACACTTTCATCAGGTTAAATTACTAAATAATTATTTAGGTTTAAAGGCAATACATCAAGAATTTTATAAGGAAACTATGAAAATAATAATTAGGCCTACAATACAATTAACATTGTAGACATTCTAAACGTTATAATACACAAACATAATACAGTGCAGTCATTGTATGGAAAGCATTAATTACATGAGACACAACTTCATTATTTGATATCTTTGC